TTCTCTCTCTCTCTCTCTCTCTCTCTCTGCACCTCCCCCCACTCGCACTCTTTCTCCCTCTCAAAAATAAATTTTAAAAGCATTAGTACTTTAAATTTTTTTAATGTTTATTTATTTTTGAGAGAGAGACAGACAGAGCATGGGCAGAGAGAGAGGGAGACACAAAATGCGAAGCAGGCTCTAGGCTCTGAGATGTTGGCACAGAGCCCACGTGGGGCTTGAACTCACGAACTGTGAGATCGTGACCTGAGCTGAAATCGGATGCTTAACTAACTGAGCCACCCAGGTGCCCCAAGAATTAATACTTTAAATAATCACTTAAAAGACTTCGTAAAAGGCTGTATCACTGAAAACACTGAGCCACAGAACACAACCAGCATGGAAAAGTTCGAAAGTGCACTTTTTATTGGCATCAAATGTGAACTTGTCACACATCCATTTTACGACGGAGAGAAGACACATCATCAATAGAAGTGGCCGGGCCCCTGTGGTGGGGGCACGAAGCAGGTGCACGGACAGCATCCCCTCACGTGGGGTCTGTCGGGAGTGGCTACCCTCAGAGTAAGGGACTGGCTGGCAAAGGCAGGCAGAGACCTTGCTGACAAACATACACATAAAGTACTTCAGATGCTTGTAGAGACATAACACATCTCCTTCCTTCTTAACCAAAGAAATGAAGCCTCAAGAGAAAAAAACAAGCTGCCTACAGGCAAATGGCCAATAATCACCGAGCCACAGAAAGTAAACAATACTCGATGGGCTTTACGATGATGTAGCCAAAACTAAGACTAATTCCACCCGTCGCTATCACTGGTAAAAATCAAAACTAATATAGTATTTGGAACATCTAATTACAGGGACACTTCCAAACTATTCAGAATTTAATAACAAAGTTTAAGAAATGTGGATAATGGGGGGAGGGGTTTACACCTGGGTGGATCAGTCGGTTAAGCGTCCGACTTCGGCTCAGGTCATGATCTCACAGTCTGTGAGTTGAAGCCCCGCGTCGGGCTCTGTGCTGACAGCTTAGAGCCTGGAGCCTGCTTTGGATTCTATGTCTCCCCCTCTCTTTGCCCCTTCCCCACGTATACTCTGTCTCTCTTTCTCGCTCAAAAATAAACACTAAAAAAATTTTTTTTTTAAATAAAAAGAGTTAAAAAAAAAAAAAAGAAATGTGGATAACAGAATAATTTCAAGTTTGAACCATGAGTTCTGTGTACAGACCTAAGGGCTTCTTATGAACCTGCCCCAAAGGGGACCGGCTGCCTACACAGAAGTTCACGCATCATAGGGGCCAGGATCTTAGATCCAAGGACACTAAATGTGACATCGTTTGGTATCTTATTTGTCTGTGTGTATGTGACATATCGAAAGATTTGAAATTAAAAGAAAACGTAAAGGGACACCTGGATGGCTCAGTGGGTTAAGTCTCTGACTCTTGATTTCGGCTCAGGTCATGATCTCAAGGTTCGTGGGTTTGAGCCCCGCGTCGGGCTCTACGCTGACAACACACAGGGAGCCCTGCCTGGGATTTTCTCTCTCCGTCTCTCTCTGCCCCTCCCTTGCTCTCTCTCTCTGTCTCTCTCAAAGCCACAGCCATCATGACTCATGCGATTCACGTGAATAAAGAGGAGAAAAGCAAAACCTGTACAATCCTCCTGAGTATGTGTGACCTCCACGCTTCTGTAGGATTTTACGTGGTGTTTAGATTACTCAGCTCGAGATCCAAAATGAGAAAGAAAAAGCCCGAGGGGCCGTCCCAAGGAACAGAAACCACAGCAGACAGGGACTGTGGGGTGCACTTCACCTTGAGCGTCCTCGGAGCCCTCGGGCAGCTCCGGGTCTGGGTTCGGGCCTGCACCCTGGAGCCCTCCGGGGTCTTGCGCAGATGTGGACGGCGGGGCTGCTCCCGGTGTCCGCAGGGCCCTCCCGTCCGAGTCAGCTCGTTGCTGCAACCACTCATCTTTGTACCCATTGCTGATAAGTTTGGAAAAGTTGGTGGGTGAACTGGTTTTTTGCCCAGGCCTCAAAAAGAGAGAAATTAATGCCAAACTTCAGTACAAAGGTTAATGACAATCCAGAACAGTCCGCAGTGAGCATACTGCTAATAACTTGGATATGTTATGGCCCCTTAAAACCCAACGGGGATAATTCTCTGTCCCTCTCTCTGTCTCTGTCTCTCTCTCCCTCCCTCTCTCTCTCTCTCTCCTTTCTCAATGTCTCTCTCCCTGTGTTCAGCATAAGAAAATACACTTGGTGGGCACTTGGGTGGCTCTGTCAGTTAATCACCCAACTTCAGCTGAGGTCACGATCTCATGGTCCGTGGGCTCGAGCCCCGTGTCGGGCTCTGCACTGACGGCTCGGAGCCTGGAGCCTGCTTCGGATTCTGCGTCTCCCTCTCTCTCTGCCCCTCCCCCACTAGTACTCTGTCTCCCTCGCTCTCAAAAATGAACAGATGTTAAAAAGAATTTTTTTTAAAGCAAACGCACTTGCTATCATCCCCGTATGTGCCGAGAGCCTGCAGAATCCACCTTCCACCACCTGTCTTCGGGACATCCAAGTAGAAAACTAATGATGCTGCTTTTTTCGCAGGGACGAAACCTTCACACCCCCCTCCCCTGGTCGTGACGGGTTGCCCGGACTCTACCATTTCTTTCACGAATGATCGCTTTCTTAATGAGGTCTTCCTTGACGTTAATGATCATCTGCCGGTCGAGCCCCTGGCTGGTTGACACAGTGGAGCCTATGGCTCCTGGCCTCGGGGTCGAGAGTTCGAGCCCCACGTTGGGTGTAGAGATTGCTTAAATAAATAAACTCCAAAAACAAAAGATGATCTACCACTCTCTGCACAGCTTTGCCTTCTATCTGCCATTAAGTCAGCGACTGCACGTTCGCGGGTCTCACCTACACTGAAGAGTGACGGGGGCCTCGGACGTGGATGGAGTCGGACAGGTGACACAGGTCACCTGCTCTCTCTGAGCCTCGGGCTCCTAACCTGCAAATCGCTCTGTGGTGAAGGGTATTCCCAGTGTCCCCCACCCTCTAAGTGTATATTTTCTCCACCCCCAGTGTCAGCGTGGTGCTCTCAGGTCTGTCCTGCTGTTTATCTCCCACGGGACCGGAGGCTGCAGGAGGAACCAGTCGGATAACTGGTGACGTGACTTCTGGCACTAACTGGGGTTCTGCCAGCCGTGCACAGTCAGAGCACCCACCGCCAGCTGAGGACACGGGGTCCAGGCCTTGGTGACAGATAAAGTCAGGATGGGACAACACACTCACGTAAGGCTGATGGCCCCGAATTTAAAAGGAGAGCCTTGCTGAGGACAGGGTCCCCAGGGGCGTCTCGGGCAGGACACAGGCTCACGGAGACAGAACCACTGGTTGGAGAAGTTCGGCACCCACACGGCGAAGACGTGGATGGGGACGGCTGTGCTCCACGGGGCCACGACGGATGTCAGGGGGGAAGGACCAGCGAAGGAGGAGCCCAGTGGGCAAGGCCGGGCTACGGGGCGTGACATCAACGTCGTGTCTCCGACACGTGTTGCCAGGAAGCCAGCATCATTAGGCCGCCACCAGCCCAGCGCCTTGTTGCCATCATTGTCACTTTGTCCCCCAGACAGAGCACCGAAGAGACCAAACCTGAACCTGACCCAGACAGCACTCACTCTGTCCGTGCACTTACATGGGAGGGAAGGACAGTCTGCTTCCTGCAGGCTCTTTGGGGCCAAGCGGGGTCCCCACTTTGCTCGGGTACTTGGAGTTGATGGCAGGTAGCCGCACCTGTTGAGGGAAAACAGGAGAAGGAGACTCACAGACGGTGGAGAAGGACCGCCTGTGAGCGTGGTCATTACGTCACCGGCCACACAACTTGACAAAAGTCCCATAAAACGGTTATGTCATGGAGACTCTCCGTGATTCGGCAGCAGTTGCCGGGCCTGGCTGCAAAGGCAGCAGTTGCTGGGCCTGGCTGCAAAGGGCCTTGGGAGTGTGGGGGCCACGGACCGGCTCTGCGCCCTGATGGTGGTGGAGGTAATACAATGGGTGCATTTGTCAAAACTCCTGGAACGGTGCTCGGTAAAAAGGTGTAGATTAGATTGTAACGAAATAGGGGAAAATGCTATGGGAAAACAGAAAAAAATGAACAGGGAAACAAGGACGCCCACAAACCCAGGGATGTATTGCAAACATTCACAGGAAGACAAGGGGGGGCCTTTGGGAAAGACGAGACACGATCCTGCAGGTGTGTGAGACCCCATAATGCTGGCCGTCCACGGGTGACATTTTGGCCGAAATATTGTCTCCTGTCTGCCACATGTCAACTCTGCGTCCCAGATCCACGCCCGGAGGCCCAGAGGGGAAGAGCGGGGGAACAGCCAGGCCCTCACCAGAGGCTGGGGTTGGACACTCATCAAATCCAGCACAACCTACAAGGTTCACTTGGTGGCTCGCGCCCGTCCACGTTCAAGGTCTTACTCTAGCTGTGCCAAAGGCCTGCGGGCTGTGGGTGGTTCCGGCGAGCTGTGCACGGAAGCAAGGTGAAGATACAGGGCTGCTGTCCGGGTCGTCCCTGACGGGCGCCCGTCCCCCTGGTTGTCACCCACACCTCGCACACAGCTTCCGTCAATGGCTCCAGAGATGACCCCACCTGATGGGGGGCTGTGCGGCCTTTAGCATTTCAAAGGTCCCCTAGACGTGTGCTGTGGCACCCAGGGATCCTGAAAACAGTCCACATCGGGGCGCCTGGGGGGCTCAGTCGGTTAAGCGTCCCACTCTTGATTTCAGCTTGGGTCTTGATTTCACCATTTGTGAGTTCCAGCCCCGCATCGGGCTCTGTGCTGACAGTGCGGAGGCTGCTTGGGATTCTCTCCCTCTCTCTCTGCCCACCGCCCCCACCCCCAAAATAAATAAATAAATAATTTTTTAAAAAATCCGGGGACACCAGGGTGGCTCAGTCAGTTAAACGTCCTACTTCGGTTCAGGTCAGGATCTCACGGTTCGTGGGTTCTGGCCCTGCGTCGGGCTCTGTGCTGACAGCCTGCTTCGGATTCCGTGTCTCCCTCTCTCTCTGCCCCTCCCCACTCTCAAAATAATAAACATTTAACACACAGAACCATGAACGAGACACACAGCCATCAG